GGATCTGTGTGTATCTTCCTGGGGATTAGGCAGGGTTTTTTCTTCTATTGAATTGTTAACGAGGGGCTGCTGGGGGTGATTAGCAAGTTCATTGGGCTGTGTGGCCGTGTTCTGGAAGTTTTGTTTCCTAACGTTTCGCCAGCACCTGTGACCGTCATCTTCAGGGTGCAGGAGATCAAGGAACTCAGCTTAACCACCAGGACATGTGAACAGTTCACACAATGAACTTGCTAATCACCCCCAGCAGCCCCTCGTTAACAATTCAATAGAAGAAAAAACCCTGCCTAATCCCCAGGAAGATACACACAGATTCACAATGAACTTGCTAATCCCCCCCAGCAGCCCCTCGTTAACAATTCAATAGAAGAAAAAACCCTGCCTAATCCCCAGGAAGATACACACAGATTCACAATGAACTTGCTAATCCCCCCCAGCAGCCCCTCGTTAACAATTCAATAGAAGAAAAAACCCTGCCTAATCCCCAGGAAGATACACACAGATGCTGACACCAAAACAAGCAGCCACTCAGTAACTCAACCCCCCCACACACACACCCAATCCCCCCCCCTCAGATCCCTATAAATACCCACAAAAGGGTCACATCACCCTGGGCACAGAGAGAACTGCTCCTGTCTGTGCTCCTGCACTCTGAAGATGCCAGTCACAGGTGCTGGCAAAACATTAGGAAACAAAACTTCCAGAACACGGCCACACAGCCCAGAAGACCCACACCAGCCATCGTGTTCCGGCCGTGAAAGCCTTCGACAATACTGTTAGAATTTATGACAAATGATGGGGTTTTAACACAAGATGATTTCCTTTATTTTGTGCTGGAGAGTTGTGAACAGCTGCCATATAACTAATATAATATATAATTTATATAATATATAAATATGGCATACTGAATTATATTCATCCATATTAATCTAGGAATGTATATCAGTTTTCTTCTCTGTCATATGATAATTTCCTTCTTAGCCCAAGGAAGGAAGGAAGAAAAGTTAATATTAATAAACATATAGTAATGTGCATTACATTTGTGTTTTTGGCAATGTGTTATGGCATAAATTTAAAAACATTCTAGGAACACAGCTATTTTTGAAAATATAGACATTGTAATAATCTACAACAATATAAACATTTCTCATCATACTCTTCCATGATATAACACATGAATATATGAACAAATCCATAGCATTAGAAAAATTTAAACCTATCTTTAGATCAAGCCCATTGAGTGATAACATTCATCTTACAGCAATGACTGTTATTGCAAATCATTATATTTGACAGATTGTGACAAATGATTCTGAGTCTGTTTTCATCCATAATGTTTGTAATAGAATTTTTGTGGTGGGGAGGGGCAAAGTTGATTTTTTTAGTAGAATTGTCAAACACTTAGCAAATGTTTAATGTCCCTCAGAAATAGAATATTACAGAACCAAAAGAATCATTAATATAACATGCTTTTGGGAAATTTATGGTTTGTGTATTTTGATAAGAACATGGCTTAAATTTTTGCAGTGAGGAAGATAACTGGGAGTGGGGGTGGAGGTGGGCAAAAGAATGGAGGCAGAGATGGAATTAGTGATACATGGGTGTGCATAGTTATACATAAGTGAAGTTCATCAATTCCCCTGAAATATAAATGTGTTTATGAACCTCTCTAAGGTGTGTATGTGCTTGCCACTTCATAATTAAAGACATGAAGTAGTCCTGCTCCTGTATTTGTAGAGTATTCCACATGTGGAGATAATCTTAGAGGAATCAGTATCTTCCTTCACAGAATGCACGAAGGGTTCCTTTAGAAAATTCCAGGCCAGGGAGGATGTAATCAGCAAGCATGTTGGTTATGGGGATATGACTAGCCCTGAAGTATTCTCACATATGCCTTGAATGCATGAGGAATTTTATTAAAACCTATCTATGCAGGTTGTTTGCATATGTAGGGTATATTGATTCATAGGATAAGTCAAATACCTCCTGGAAAAAACAATATCTGAGCTAGAATCTAAAGAACAGGAAAGCAAAGCCTCATTCAGGCATCATCTAAGCCTGACTCTTATTCCCTGCATATATCACCCAGATGATTAAAGTTTCCCTGTAGCATTTCAGCATTCAACAGAAAAGTCTGCAAAAGAAAAGCCAACCCAGCTTATGTCCTGCACACATTCACACGAATGTCTGCTGGAAAGTGAAAGTCATTATAGCAATGTGGTGATTCACAACACCTGAACAGGTTGAAAATGTATGTATGATTTCAGTGTGTACCCTTTTGAGTATGATGGAAATAAAACAAAGCTCTTTATTATAAAATCTTATCTTGGTTAGCTTTTGAACAGCTTCCCAACAATCCAGTTGAGTTTGGTTGACTTTTACATTAAGTTATTTATTGTATAAACAACTGGGAACAAAGGAGTCTGCAGTTGTATTTCATTCTTTTTATGACCTGGTTTTTAAATTACACTTCTGTCCAGGTATTTGGTTTCTTAAAACACAAGCATCCCACTTCCTTTTGCAAAAATGCACAAAATATAAATAACTCTATAAAGATATAAATCATGTTATAACATTGGCCATGTTGTAGTGTACAGTAATGTTGTTCTTATTTTTAGACTGGAAAAGACATATTGAGTACAAGCCTGGTTCTGGGAGCATACCTTTATTTCCTATCATTCACCTGGAGACTTGTGATGGACCTGTTTCTTCTATCCATGCCACTGTTGAGCTTCAAACCAACTCTATTGGAAAAGGCTGTGATCGTGAGACATACTCAGAGAAATCCCTGCAGAAATTATGTGGTACATATGTTGAATTTCAATTAATTTATATATAATTCTGGACATTTCTGAGCTGATAGTAGCAATGCTGGTATTTACGTAGAAACCAAAAGGGAGATTTCTTTCTGTTGAACTTCAATTATTTGGGGATAGTCTTTCAAGGATCACATGTTGGCAGTTAGCAGGGCTGAAGCCTGTAGTAGGTGGGTCTGACATTATTAATGGATAGAGCTACTGTTTGTTTCTATCTTACAGCAACTTGTCACCTTCATCTGTTTCTGGTGTGATTTTGTTTTATTTTTATCTTTATTCAGGTGTTTACCTAAACATGGAAAACTCAAAATGAGGAGGGAGTGGAACTGCTACGCAGCTTTTTCCTTTCTGCCTCTCCAGAAAGGAAGAGGTGTGCTCACATTGGCTTGAATGCAAGCCCAGCTATGAGTAGGATTCTGGATCCTGCTTTATTCAGATTCCAAAAGTCATGAAATGCTATACTTGCCTTTCAGGCTTCCTTCCTATGTACATGATCCAGGCTGATCCTAGTTTGTGCTCTCTGTAGGTTTAGGCAGAGGCCTGAATGGGACCTTTCTCTCTTTAATGGGTTGGGAAGGAACAGAGCATTCTTGCCAGAGATTTAAAGTGATCTCATTAAGCAAACTCCCTAAAGTTTTCAGCTAATGGGGACATTTGGAACTTTGAGGGTACTCCCACAAAGTGGCTTTCACGCAAGATTTTCACTACCCCACTTTTTTTTTTCTGTGTAACCCCTCCCCCCCAATCATTTTTCTTCATTCTAAGAATGCTTCTGGGATACATGTGGGACCCAAAATAATTCTTGGAAATAAAGATTATACTTGAATCTACTACTTAGTTTTACAGCAGGCACATAGGATGGGGAAAAGATCATGATGGCACCAAGGGAGTTGTATGGAAAAGCACTGTGTCCTATAGATGCCTCTAGGACTCTGGATATATAAGAGCTTTGAAATTAGGGAGTAGAACTCCAACCCTGCTGTAAATGTTTTGAATTATATTGAAATAAATTGAACTTGTTTGTGATTCTGGACATTTTTAGAGTTACAATTGTATAACAAATTATTATATCAAGAAACTTATTTTACATATTTACATTTTATAAATATTAATCTTCACCAGTATATGATCATTATCACAGTGAAAGGTTATACAGCAATTTTGTACATGTCAATTCAAAATCAAATTCCATTTACTTCAATGGAACTTATTTCCAAGTAAGTGGGTGTACAGGATGATGGCCTAAATCTCTTAGTCTCTTGAGTTTTAAAAGCACGTCAGAGTCTCTAATTGGCCTTTTAAAACATTAAAAGTTGTCTATAAAAATCAACCATTCTTCACCCTCCCTGCTATAATATATCTTGTATGAGACTGCTTTTTAAATAGCAAAGTTCAGAATGTCCAAATAGATGCTTAATTAGAAGTGGTTTGACCACATTTTGACCACATTCATATTTTGCTATACTCCCTCCTGATCCAATTCTGGGCTCACTTTAAAATATTGGTCATTACCTTTAAAGGGCTGAATGAATTAGGCAGTTTACCTAAAATGTTGCCTGCTAAACATACCTTGGCTGCTCTGAAACAGCTAAGCATATTCGATTCTACTTTGCATATGGAAATGGGAAATACCAGCATTTGTTTCACTTTTCTCTACATAGTCATTATCTTCAATACCAGTTAAAAGAAAGGAAGATATTTCTTAAACCTGTCTGCATCTACCAGTTGTTAATAAGTAGTTTCATTGCTTGTTTGCTAAAACAATATACCTCAGAGTAGTTAACAATCATGATTAAGGTTACAACAAAATAAAATATTTAAAATATTAAATATTTAAAATATTAAACTCATTATCAGTCAGATATATCAACTTATTGACAGTGATAAAAAGAGCCAAGTCTTCATCTTAAAAAGTACAAGAGCTGGTACTAGTTTTAAGCATACTGCATATAGGAATGCTACCTCTAATTCCTTTTCTTAGAAAAGCTCTTAATATGTAGAATGATTTAATACATTGATAAATACTTAAAGAGAAAAACATGATTTATATCAAAGCAATATTTATATATTTATTGAAAGGCTGTATTAATCCATTATTCAGAAATAATCACTTTTGGAGCTTTAAAATGCTTCTAATTCTCTCAAGTGTATAGTGTTATCTATATTTTTCATAAAATCCATTTTTGCTAATGAAAGTGTTGGAATAGCTGGCCATTTTTGCTTAATGAAAGTGCTGGGATATTTTATACCTTGTAGGTGGACAGGACAGGTTAGTAGTTAGTGCCATTGTGTCAGCACTAACTGTATTATTATGTAATGAGGATAATGTGTACATTCTCTTGAAAATATAAATACATTTCAATTCATAAAACTGATATAAATTCCAGCTACATGCTGTGATCCAATAACTGTAAGGACAAGGCAGGAAATCTTTCTTCAGTCCTTCACCCCACTTTACTGACCTCTGACATATTGCTATTTATCACCCCAGGTTTACAACAGGTCTTGGGAAGTGTTGATTGCCCAAAATTATACTGCAGTGTCACCAGCCCTTTGGGAAATACTCCTGTGGTTTGGAATGCTGCATATTCATGCAGCAGGTACCATGGAGGAGAGGTGAGGTTGGACAAAATTCCATACCCAATCCTAGTCCTCCAGCTGACCAGGTTGCAGTAACTAAGGCAGCTTCTCTATAGTGAAGCAAGGAGAAGCTGAATTACTTTGTGTTCCCCCCATTCAGCTTTAAAATCTACTATGAACTCCCAATGTCATTTGGATCCCAGGATCTGTCTGTAGTTAGCCTGGAGCACTGTTTCCCAATGTTGGCAATTTCCAGGTATGTGCGCTTCCAATCCCAGAATTCCACAGCTAGCATGGCCATTGATGAGAATTCTGCGAGTTGAAGCCCATACACCTAGAAGGTGCCAAGGTTGGAAAAAACTGTCCAAGAGCATGGAGCAGACCTTTATTAACCCTATGACCCATCTACCCTCTTTTAGCACTTCATGTTTTAAAGCGATTTAGTCCGAAAATTTGTTATGGATAAGCTAAGCAATCCCTCAACATTCCTTGCTAAAATTTAAAAATAAGTAAATCCATTAGTATGGTGGCATTGCTAATTCCTGTGTTGCTGAATATACAAGTCAGTTGATTAAAGTAACAAAAACAATTCACTGACAAATATATAATTCAGATAAACAATGTACTGAAAAAGATTGAATTTGCTTGGTACAACTTTAGCAATAAATCTTATTTTGAAATATTTGTTGTACTGTTATGTTCAAAGCCAGTGGAGGCTTCATAGCACAGGGCTCGACAGTGGGTTCTGTCAGCAGCCACAGCTTCTAGTTCCCTTGGCTGTCAGAGTGGTGTAGGATTTCTTTCACAGCAACTTTGTAGCACTTGCGTGGTTGACCTCGAGGTCTCTTCCCAGACTCCAGCACACTACAGAGCAACTGGCAAGGCATATGGTGGTCATCCATTCTGATGATGTGTCCCACACACTGCATCTAGCCTCTGATAATCAGGGACTCAATGCTGGTGGACTCCGCATGTTCCAAGACCTCCAGGTTGGAGACATGGTCTTGCTAATGAATTCCAAGGATGGAGTGGAAAGTGCACATGTGAAATTTCTCCAGTTATTTGATATGCCTTTGGTACAGAGTCCAGGACTGACATTCATATAGGAGAGAAGGAATAATCACAGATCTGTAGACTTTCAGCTTTGTGAAGATGCAGTTGTTGTGTTGATTAAGCACTCTAGTATGCAGCCACCCCAGTGCCTGTCTGGCCTTGCTGATCCTGGAGTCAGTTTCTTTGTCCAAAGACCCATCGCTTGAGATGATGCTTCCCAAATATTTGAAGCTGTTTACATTTGTCAGCTGGGTGTCATCAGCAGTGATTTTTGGTTCTACAGGGTTGGTAATTGGCATGGACTGGTAAAGTACTTCAGTCTTGTTCAGGGTGATAGGCCTGACTAGCACAGCAGCATCTGAGAATTTGTTCAGCATCAATTGTAGATCACTGTCTTTGTGTACCAGGAGCGCACAGTCATCAGCAAAGAGGGTTTCTTGAATGACTGTATGGAGGCACTTAGTCCACGCATTCAAGCAGTGAAGGTCACAGAGAGAGCTGTCCAATCGGTATCCGTATCTGATACATATTCCCTCCTTCAGACCCTGGACAGCAAATGACAACATGCAAGTGAAGAGCAGATAGAACAGGACTGGAGCTAACACATAACCCTGTCTTACCCCTTTGGAAATGGCAAATGCAGCTGATGTATCACCATTATAAAGACCCTGTCCTGTCATTCTGTTGTGGAGTAGCCGAATCAACTTCATTAATTTCTTTGGGCATCCATAATGTCTCAGGATGATCCAGAGAGCCTTCCTGTTTATAATGTCAAATGCCTTTGTCAGGTCAATGAAGACAGAGCAAAGAGGCTTGTTCTACTTGATGCACTTCTCCTGGACTTGTCTCACAGCAAATATAATGTCTGCTGTTCTTCGTTCTGGCCTGTGGTTAAGTTCCTTTCCAAGACAATGACAAGTCTGTTCAGGAGAATGCAGGCAAAGATCTTGCCTACAATGAACAGCAATGAGATACCCCTGTAGTTTCCACAGTCTGATTTGCTTCCCTTATTTTTGTACAGAACCAAAGTGAGGGCATCATGGAAGTTGTCAGGCATCTCTTCTGTGGATCAAATGTCTTCCAAGATGTCTTGGAGCACCCATAATGCACTTGGATCTAATACTTTGTAGATCTCGGCAGGAATATCATCCTGTCCTGTGCTTTATTTGAGTTCATCTGCGAGATCTCTTTCTTGATCTCATCAGTAGAGGGAGGCAGGTCTAGGGTATTCAAGACTGGCAGCTGAGGAATCTGCTGTAAGACATCATGATTAATGATGGGCAGCCTATTGAGTGGGTTAGAAAAGTGTTCAGCCCAGCGGTTTTTCAGTCCTTCCTGGTCTTTGATCAGGCTTGACCCAT